TCAAGTCCCCAACTTGCCTTCCTCTGCCCCTGCCTGCTTCTTACCCATCCCTTCTATTACAACAAAGGAAGCAGTGATTGTTCCATCTGTGGCTTCACACACTGCACCAGCGGCCTCCAAACAAGGGCTTGCATGTCCACAGGGACATGAAGACTTTCTAAAACGTACGTGGACACAGACAGTTTTAAGGGAATCAACTTCCAGAGCTGCTTCTCTCATATGTTTCCTCTCTTTGTATTGATCAGCCTGAGAAGGAGCCTTAGGTCAGTTCTTCTCTGTCTTCTCTTTCCCAGCTGACCCCCTCCTTCATTTTGAATCCTACTCTGGCAACTCACTCTGGGGTATTAAAAAAAAAAAAAAAAGGCTACTTGAGAATGCTGTGCTTGAGGAAGTTGAGGAAGTCCTAGAGAAAGCAAAGTCTAGAGAGCTTCTGTGAGAATTTTTGAAGGGGACAACTCTATAGCTCAGTTCTGTGCCTTCTTCATTTAATTTGAATTATTTCCATTGAAAAGCAAAATAAAAAACAGAGAAAATTTTTAAAATCAGGCCTTTTCTAATGGAAAGTCAACCTGACCTGGCCGATGGGTCTAACGTAGAGGCCTGGCTTTGCAAACAGGACACATGGCGCACATCTTTCAAAGGTGGACATGTTTAAATCCAAAGCCTCACAGCTTGAACAAAATATATTTAAAGCACACATATGACCTCCCCTTCTAGCCAAGACAAAGTAGCAGGGACCGGATTTACTCTGTTTCCTGAAACAACTATACAAGAAAAAATCTATGAAACACAGTTTTCACAACACTGGATACAGACAACAAAGCACAGTGACCCCTGATGCACAAGAAAGTGGTGAGGTGGGCCCTGTGGTTGTGCAGCTGACCACTTGAGTTTCCAGTATCTATTGCAGGGAGGGAGAACCCAGGCAGGACGGTGCAGACTTCCTGAGCTGAGGAGAGAGCGCAGGGTTTGGGGCAACCAAGGGAGCAAGAGTGCTCAGGACAGGACACTAGACAGGAGGGGGGTGCACAGAGAGAGTCTCGGGGATCTGAAGCGGAACCCCCTCAAGTATTCTTTAGAGCACTGCTCATCACAAAAATGTGAGGAAGCCACTTGAGACCAAGGAAAGAACCACCCACAATGATCAGAGGGAACAGCAGCCATGAGTCACAAGGGTCTGGAACATTGCCTATTCCCATTAGCCACACTGGAAAACCTCGTAACTTACGGAGCATGGGTTAGAATTTTCAAAATGTACGTGGCTCAATAGTGGGGACTCGTTAGCCCTGGTTTAAACACCGATTGTTCACACCTAATGAATCTTTAAAGCAAAACCTGAAGGGATCAGATTGTTTCTAAATAATGTAACTGCAGCCTGGAACAAACCTTCAGAATATTTACTGGAATACAAAAATAATCAGCGCCCCAAAACATAAAATTCACTATGTCCAGACTCTAATAAGAAATTACCAGTCATGCAATGAAGCAGAAAAACATGACCTATATTGAGGAGGAAAATCAACTGACCAACCTAGAACTGATGCTAAATGTAAGAAGTACCTGACAAGGACATCAAAACAGTTATTATGACTATTCCCAATGTTAACGTAGCTAATTAGAAACTTGGAAGATATTTTTAAAATGCCCGCATAGAACATGGAGAGATGCAGACTAAAATGTCTGAGATGAAAAACTACTGAATCAGAATTAACCACAGTTTAGACACTGCAGAAAAAAAATTTTAGAAATGAATAAAAATCATGCATAATATGTAGGAGGTAGAAAGCACATGTTCTTTACAAATAATTTATGAAAAATTTAGTCATCAACTAAAAATGGGTGAGAAGGTACCTAGTTTTTGTTTTGCTATTTTGTGGGATTTCATGAACAAAAGAATTTGAAGATGCTCTTGAACAATTAAGATAAATAAATTAAAAAAAAGAATTTGAAGATGCTGCTCTAGATCCCACCTTCTTCCCTCTTTCTCAATGACTTTGCTTCTTTCATCATCCCCTCTCCTCTCGGAAGCACCCTTGTTTTCCTGTCAGCGGGCTCAGTCCCATCAGCACACGTGCCACCCAGTATCTGCACCTTCAGGGTATGCTCCTCAGCCGGCCTTCAGTTACTGCCCAGTGGCTCTACTCCATTCACAAACTTCAAATCCATACCTGCCATCCCTCTCTTCCTCCTCTTTCCTGTTCCAACATGGTTGCCACTCAAACTTCCCCATTAGAATTTCTTTTCCTATATGCATCAATGACTTCTTTGTTGCTAAATTTAAAGGATCCTCGGTATTTCTCACCTCACTTGCCCTTTTACTTATGTTCAATAGTTTACCAATCCCTCCTTCAGCAGTTCACCACTTCTTCCTTCTTAGCTTCTACAATATCACCCTCTGTTTGTTTTCTTCTCACCTCTCTGGCACCTCTTTATCATGTTTCTTGCCTGGCACTTTCTTATTGCAGCTTCTAAGCACTGTTGTCCCTGTCCTGGCCCTAAGTCTCTCTGTACCCTTCTTCCCTTGGTGATCTCCTCCAAGATCTGGTTTTAAATGCATCCATATACCCATAATTCCCAAAAGTGTATCTCCAACCTAGACTTTCCTCTGGGCTCAAAGCCTGTATTTCCAATTGCCTACTTGATGCTTTAAACTCTTGAATGTCTCAGAGGCATTTCAAATTTACCATGTTCAAAACTAAACTCTCACCCCCCCCAAAAAAAATAGTGACTCTACCCACATAACTATTCAAGCCAGGGAGTCATCCTGAAACCAGGACAATTGTCCCCACAGGCTCCACTGCCTGCCAGCACAAAAGCCAAACTTGTGAGACAGGTGCTCTGTGAAGAACAGTGGTTGAGTTTGAATCAACCTAAGGAGGTGGCAGGCTCATGCCTCCAAAACCATCTCAACATCTCTGGTCAAACCAGTGATTCTTATAGTGAGTTGGTGGGAAGTCAGAAGGGGGAGAATTCCAAAGGATAGAATGCAGACATGCAGTTTCTCTTGAGAAAGGGAACTGGGAGTGAGGGGAGGGGGAATGAAGTGGAATCATGCAGTTCTTGCTTGGGCTCATTTCTCTCTCTGATGTTATCTTGTGACATAGTTAAGCTCCACATCTGTGGTCCATTGCTTCACTGTCAGTGTCAACACCCCTCATTCCAGGAACAAGTTATTAGGCTGTAACAAGAACCTAGCAAATGAGAGTGAAAACACAGAGTTGATTAAAAGCACAGGGTAAATTATACTCTTTGATTTGTTACAGAATGTATAACTTTGATCACTAAACTAGTAATATTAAATTATGGTTACGGTCCTTAAGATCTACCGTTCCCTTATCCTCACCCACTTCTGAGATTCAACCTCCAAAAATTGTCTTAAATGTATTTGATTGTCTCTTCTTTTCCACACACACCACGACCATCTTGGCTGAGCCACCATCTTCTCTCACTTGTATGATTACAGTAGCTTCCTAATTGTCTCCCTAGTTCCACTCTTGCCTCTTCAATCCATTCTCTAGGTAGCTAGTAAGAGCTTTTAAAAATAACTTCAAGAATACTCTCCTTCTCTAATACTTCAATGAGTTCCCATTACTTTTCCTTTGACCTACAAAGGCTGCCATTCTTCTAGCTTCACTGTACCACTGTCCTCCCATCTAGGAAAAAGCCCATTCCTGCCTCAGGACATTGAATTTCTGCCGCCTCCCACATTGTCCTCCCCTGTTGTTCATCTGATTAACTCTCACTTATCCTTACCATCCTTACAGTGACTCCTCCTGGGACTCCGCAGTTATTTATTTACAGAGAGGGGAAGGGAGGGAGAAACAGAGGGAAAGAAACAGTGATGTGTGGTTGCCTGTCAGGTGCCCTTCATCGGGGACCTGGCCCACAACTTAGGCATGTGCCATGATTGGGAATCGAACCAACGACCATTTAGTTCCATTTAGTTCTCGGTCGGGGCTCAATCCACTGAGCCACACTAGCCAGGACTCTGGCTCCCCAGTTTAAACTTGCTTTCCCTGCTTTTCTCCCTCATAGCACATTGTACTTTTCCTTCATACTTTTACTACAGTTGGTAAATATATATTTATTTGGCAATTGTCCAGCTTGAGATATAATTAGCAAGTTCATATGATTACTGTTTCCTAGATTCTAAACACCAGGAGAGCAGAACCAAGGTCAGTTTTTTTTTCTCTTTTTAAAAAAAAATTTTTTTAAATTTATCTTTAGAGGGGAAGGGAAGGAGAGAGGGAGAGAAATATCAATGTATGGTTGCCTTTCATGCGTCCCCTGCTGGGAACTGGCCTGCAGGGAACCAGCCTGCAACCCAGGCATGTGCCCTGACTGGGAATCGAACTGCGATTGCCTGGTTCGCAGGCCCGCGTTCAATCCACTGAGCTACACCAGCCAGGGCCCAAGGTCAGTTTTGATATTTGCTGCCCTGCCGCTCTGACCCCCACCAGCCTACTTAGAATAGGGACCTGGCACATATAGTGCTCAATATTTGTTGACCGAAATGAATGAATGCATTAAGTGCTTGAGAACTCTGCTCTGTTCACCAAGAGCAGCTCTGAATTTCTGCTTCAAATCTGGATAACTGCTACTAGAATTAGAATAGAGGTACATGCTACAGGTATTTCAGCCCACAGACCCTCTTGAAACTTCACCTGCTACTCCCCACAGCGTCAAGTGTAGTTTTACTCCCATTGAAATACTCTCTGCAGTCTACAGCCCTAAGACCCCGAACGTGCCCGATCTAGTCTGAAATACTCTTTGCGCCTGGCAAACAGGCATCACGCAATATCCCTGATAATCACAGACCAAATAGAGAAGGATTGTGACATGGACTCTAAACGTGGCTGTGTTTTGCATCCCAAGCTGAAAAGTGCCCTCCGTGGCTCATAGCTCCACTCACATCCGCAGTCTGCACCACTTCCCTCACCAGCAAAGACCCGCGGGCTCCAACACCCACCGCAGGGAAGTTCAGCTCGCGCTCCAGCTCCGACCTTCCGTACCGCATGGCAGCCCCCCAAGGAGTCCCTCAAGACAATGCTGTCCGTACAACATGGCCGCCTACAGGGCGCGCAGCGCAGCCCCACCCACCGAGCCACCGGAAGTTTCCGTTTGAAATCCAGGCTGCTGATCGGCTTGAAGGTGTGGCGGTTGCCGCGGAGCACATTTTGAATCCTAACAACGAGAGTTGTGAGCCGGAGCAGCAGGCACCTGGGTGAGGTTCTCCCGGCGCAAGGGACTGGTCTGATGGGGGCAGAAAGGTTGGGCTGGGAGTGGAGTTTCCCCCTACAACTCCCGTTGAATCAGAACGACTAGGGTTGTGAGCTGGGGCTGGCCGGGTCGCGCGCTCTTCCTGTCCCCTCCACCTGCTTGGGAGCCCTCCGGTCCACCCACGGGATAACATTCACCTTTCACCTTACAGGGCCCAGCCTTGTCACCTCCTTACGATGACCAGCGGGGTTAAGACAGCGTACACACTGCAACCCCCCTCAGGGCTGAGCGGCGGCCCGCCCGCAGGTGGGTGCGCACACTGCCCCCAGGGGAGGACAGAAGAGCAAATCCGTGTCCCAGAGCAGAGCACGGAGCCGGTGCGGGGGTGGGGGCGGTGGGAAGGGCATTCCGTGGACGCTGACTACCTGCTGACTCTCCTAGACCCTGGCTCTCCAGGTTTAAGATAGGAGTTAGAAGAGGGCCTTGCGGTAGGATTTTAGACCTGCCCTGCACCCCTGCTTCCCCAAACGTAACAGCGCTGCATTACCAATTCAGTTAAACTGCTGACTGCCCTACAGTCTTAATCCCATTAATTTAGGGATTTCCTTGTAAACAATTACAGATTTTATTTCCAGACCTGCGCTGTCTGGAACTGGGTAGTTGTCTTGGGGAGGGAGAAAGGGGAGTCATTTGAGAAGCTGGATACTTTCGCGGGGAGCACTAGAATTCCCCACCGTGTCTGGTTCACATTTGTCTCTCATATAGTACATTCCTAGTAAACATTTGCTCAGGGAAGTGTGAGAGAGGGGTCAAGCTTAGCTAGAGCATTCGAGAAACTTGGGAAAAGAGACATGATTAAATTTTGTTAATTGTTTTGCCATCTTGCTTTATTTTACATTATCTTGTGGTTTAAAGCCAATGCCTAGAGTCTGCAGGTGTCCAGCTGCCTAATCTAGCGATCATAGCACAGAGTAAGCTTCAGACATCAGAACCAGTTGTGGGAGATTTTGAAGCAGCTGTTTAAGATCCCTTACCAGTCTCATCATCAGCTGGTTGAGGACCAGTAGCAGGATTGATCTGTGAAGTAAATAGGCTTTTCTCCAAAGGCTCAAGGGTTGCCCTCTTTGTCTTAAGTTGCCTCAGAACACCTGGATGGTAATTCTGGCATCAGCAGGGCCTAGCAGTAGCTGGGGGAACCAGAGCCACATCCGTTTACTCTGCTTGTCCCGTGGAGTGCAATGCCCCCGCGGTCACTGGGGAGTGACTGGCTCTCCCCAGCAAAGTTGAAAGTTTTCAATCCCTTTGCTTTCTATTCCTGTCCTAGCTTTATCATTATATGTAACCTCGGTAATTTAACATTTTTAGTCAGTCTTCCAGGTTTTTATTTTGATTTTGGGCATGGGCTGGTTGTTTTTTAAAATATATTTTATTGATTATGCTATTACAGTTGTATGCTATTTCGGGTGTATGACTTTAAAATACAGGGTCTGACAGAAATAATGCCTGCTTGAGTGTGGTTGGTAGGTTAATATGAGTGTAATAATTTATAGTTTTAATGTGAACATTTCACCTAAAATGTTGTATGGTATACTTGAGTGTGATATTGTTATGTTACAGGATATCATGCTTATGATTTTGTAATAAAAAAAACTTGTAATAAAAAAGGGGCGTTATTTGTGCTGGCCCCTGGATAACATCTGTATGCTTTATTGTGTGTTCAGCACCTGAAGTCTAATCTCCTTCTGTCACCACACACTTGACCTCCTTCCACTCTGGTAAGCTCCATTCTGTTGTCTGTATCGATGAGTTTGGTTTTTGTTTGTTTCATTTATATGTTTGTTGCTTTTTGTTTTATATTCCAAATATGCATGGAATCGTGTGGTTGCCCTTTTTCGTTTCACTTAGGTCATTGTGGAATACTCCCGACATTCATCCATAATGTCATAAATGGCAATAGTTCTTTTTAATGACTGCATAGCGTTCAATCATATGTATGTACCACATCTTGTTTTTCCAGTCATCAGTCAAAGGACACGTAGGTTGCTTCAGTGTCCTGACTATCGTCAATCGTGCTGCAATGAACACAGTGGTACATATATCTTTACAAATAAGTGTTTTCACATTTTTAAGACAGATAGTCAGGAGAGGGATTGCTGGGTCATGTGGTAGCTCCGTTAATTTTTTGAGGAGCCTCCATACTGTTTTCCAAGTGGCTGCATCAGTTTACATTCCCACCAGCAGTGTCCCTGTTCTCCACATCCTCTCCAACACTTGCTATTTCTTGTTGTCTTGATCACATGCATTCCAATGGGTTTGAGGTGGTGGCATCTCATTGTGGTTTTGATTTGCATTTTCCTCATCACTAGTGATGTTGAGCGTCTTTTCATATATCTGTTGGCCATATGTAAGTTCCTTGTAAAAACGTTTATTCAGGTCTTCTGCTCGTTTTTAATGCAGTTTTTTGCTGTTAAGTTGCTGGAGTTCTTTATATATTTCATATGTTAACACCTTATCAGACATTATTTGCAAATATCTTGCCTTTTGTTTTGTTAATAGTTTCTTTTGCTGTGCAGAGCTTTTTATTTTGATATAGTCCCATTCATTTATTTTTGCTTTTACTTCCCTTGTTTTGGGGGTCAAGTTCACAAAAACCCCGAGACCAACATCAATAGGTTTGGTAACTATGTTTCTTCCTATATAGTCAAGTCTCTACTCCATTGTGAGCTAGTTTTTGTATATGGTGTCAGATAGCAGTTTAGATTCTTTGCATGTGGCTTTCCAGTTTCCCAACACCATTTACTAAAGAGACTTTCCTTTCTCCATTGTATGTCTTTGGCTCCTTTGTTGAAAACTGGTTGCCCATATATATGTGAGTTTATTTCTGAGCTCTCAATTCTGTTCCATTGGTCTTTCTGTTTGTTTTTCTGCCAATACCATGATGTTTTAATTATTGTAGCTTTATAGTTTAGTTTGAAGTCAGAAAGTGTGATACCTCCAGCTTTGTCCTTTTTTTTTTTTCCAGGAGTGCTTTGGCTATTCAGAATCTTTTGTGATTCCATACAAATTTGAGATTTTCTGTTACATTTCTATGGAAAAAGCTATTAGGATTTTGATGGGGTTGCATTAAATCTGTATATTGGTTTAGGTAATATAGTCATTTTAACAGTGTTAATTGTTCCAAGCCATGAACATGGATGGAATATCTATTCATTTCCTTAGGTCTTCTTCAATTTCAACAGTGTCTTGTAGTTTACAGATCATTTGCTATCTTTGTTAACTCTATTCCTAGGTATTTTATTCTTGTTGCAATTGTAAATGGCATTATTTTCTTCATTTTTTTTTTTTTTGATATTTTGTTGTTAGTTGATAGGAATGCAACGGGTTTTCATCTGTGGATTTTATATCCTACAACTTTGCTGTATTTGTTCCTAATACTTTTTTGGTGGCATTGTTAGGGTTTTCTATATACAGTGATGTCATATGCAAGTAGTGAGTTTTACTTCTTCATTCCCAATTTGGATTTCCTTCCTTCCTTTTTTGGTCTAATCGCTCTGCTCTGGCTAGGACTTCCGGAACTACATAGCACAGCAGTGATGAGAGTGGGCATCCTTGTCTTGTTCCTGAGCTTAGAGGAAAAGTTTTCCGTTTCTCCCCATTGAGTATGACGTTACCTGAGGGTTTGTCATCTATGCCCTTTATTATGTTGAGGTCATTTCCTTCTATAAGCATTTTATGGAGTGTTTTATTATATGTGGATGTTGTAACTTGTCAAACGCTTGTTATTGTTATCACATTGATTGATTTGTGGATGTTGAATCATCTTTGCATTCCTGGAATGAACCCCATTTGATCGCGATGTATGATTCTATTAATATATTGCTGTATTCTATTTACTAGTATTTTATTTAGGATTTTACCTGTTTATCAGAGATATTAGCATGTAATTTTCTTTTTATTTTAAAGATTTTATTTATTTTTAGAGAGAGGGGAGGGAGGGAGAAAGAAAGGGAGAGAAACATGGATGTGTGAGAGAAATGTTGACTGGTTGCCTCTTATACACCCCTAACTGGGGACCAGGCCAGCAACCCAGGCATGTGCCCTGACTGGGAATTGAACCAGTGACCCTTTGGTTTGCAGGCTGGAGTTCAATCCACTGAGCTATACCAGCCAGGGCTCCATCGTTTCTTTTCCCTTGTGATTTTTGTCTCCTATTTTAATATGGTAGTTTTCTTTTTTTTTCCATTCCTTTCCTCTTTTTTTTATATCTTGTGTCTGAGGTCTGGATTTTTGTTTTGTGCGTGCCATTAAGTTTGTGTAAAATGTTGCATATATGCAATAGTCCTCCTCCTTTTGATTGCCTCGTCTTTTTTTTTTTTTTTTATCTGTAGAAGGGAAGGGAAGGAGAGAAATATCAATGTATGGTTGCTTCTGGTGCATCCCCTGCTGGGAACTGGCCTGCAACCCAGGCATGTGCTCTGACGGGGAATCGAACCACAATCTTTTGGTTCGCAGGCCCGTGTTCAATCCACTGAGCCACACCAGCCAGGGCTGATTGCCTCATCTTATTCACCTGTACATGTGCAGTCCTTTTTCTTCTCCCCTTATATGACTTTGTTGTCACAAATTATCTCTTTTTTTTTTTTTAATTTAAAGATTTATTTATTTATTTATCTTCAGAGGGAAAAGGAAGGAGAGAAATATCAATGTATTGCCTGTTATATGTGCCCACTGGGAACTGGCCTGCAACCCAGGCATGTGCCCTGACTGGGAATTGAACCGAGATACTCTGGTTCTCAGGCCCACGCTCAATCCACTGAGCTACACCAGCCAGGGCCTACAAATTATCTCTTTTATGTTGTACATTTGATAACAAATTGCAGTAGTTATAGTTATTTTTTAATGCATCTTGGAGAAGGTCTCTTTGCATTGATATAATTAGGTGTTCTGTTAGCTTCTTCTATTCCAAAGTCTACTTCTTCCCATAGGTTTGGGAAGTTCTCTTCAATTATTTCTGTCAGTCGGCGCTCTGTTTCCTTCTCTCCTCTTCTCTGGCATTCCCATTACACTGTGTTGCTCTTTCTCTTCTTCTTTTTTTTAAAGATTTCATTTATTTACTTTTTAGAGAGAGAGGAAGGGAGGGAGAGAAACATCAATGTGTGAGAGATACATTGATTGGTTGCCTCTCCCACACCCTCAACTGAGGACCCAGCTTACAACCCAAGCGTGTGCCCTGACTGGAAATCACACTGGTGACCTTTCAGTCTGCAGGCTGGGGCTCAATCCACTGAGCCACACCAGCCAGGGCTGTGTTGCTCTTTCTAATGGAGACAGATAGTTGTCATATAGCCTTTCTTCCCTTCTTTCTTTCTTTCTTTCTTTCTTTCTTTCTTTCTTTCTTTCTTTCTTTCTTTCTTCCTTCCTTCCTTCCTTCCTTCCTTCCTTCCTTCCTTCCTTCCTTCCTTCCTTCCTTCCTTCCTTCCTTCCTTCCTTCCTTCCTCTCTCCTTCTCTTCTCTTCTCTTCTCTTCTCTCTTCTCTTCTCTTCTCTTCTCTTCTCTTCTCTTCTCTTCTCTTCTCTTCTCTTCTCTTCTCTTCTCTTCTCTTCTCTTTTCTTTCTTTCTTTCTTTCTTTCTTTTCTTTCTTTCACTCCTAGTTCTTTCTGTTCCTCCTCCTGGGTCATGTCTAGGTCCTACGAGCTTGCTGATGCTCTTCCATGCTGTCCGCTCTGTCTCCCGTGCTCTCTGGAGCACTCCTCATCTCACTTACTGGGTTGTAGCTCCAGGATTTCTGTTTGGTTCTTTATTATAGTTTAAATTTCTTTGGTAAAGTACTTCTTTTGATTATTAATTTTATTCTTGAACTCAGTGTACTATTTTCTGAGTTCTCTTGTATCTTATTGAGCTTTTTCATAACTGCAATCTTAAATTTTCTGTCATTTAAGTCATGCTCTTCCATGACTTTGATTTGGTTTCTGGAGACTTTTCATTTTCTTTCTGTGCTCCTGTGTTATCTGGGTCGTTCGTGGTGTTTGATGAATTGCTTCTCTGACTGCATGTTTCAGGGTAGTGAACTCCTTTCTTGTCCATATTCTGTGTTGCTGTCAGTAATTCAGTGATTTGATAAGTAGGGTACTTTATTTTGATGCTGTTATAGTTTTAAGTTTTGTTTTCTCTTCCTACGCTATTTGCACCTCTGGGATCATGGTGGAGCGGTGTCAGTTCAGCTAAGGAAACGGCACACACCCCCTGGGATGGTGGGTGTCCCTCTGTGACTGGATGGCCTCCGCCACAGGGCGCCGCCCCCATGGCGGGGGAATGTGGTGGGTGGTGGGCTACTGGTTTCACCTACTGCCTCCTTTTGTCTAATGGTCCCAGGCCCAACTGTATTTTTGGAGGCCTCTCCACTGGCTCCTCCTGGCTGTGTCAGGATGGGTCGGGCAAGGGATGCAAGTTCCCCATCTCAGGGCTCTGCCCCTCCCTGTCATCACCTCCACACTGTTTAAGGTTTCCCAGCCACCTTGCCAGGGTCCGCTGCAAGCGGGAAGGGGGTAGGGGATGGCTTTTCTCAGGGAGGCACTCCCTCTGCCCCCCTTACAGCCTGACTTCTGCACTGCTGCTGTGCTCACTGGCGCCGCGGTGGGCCGCCACCCTGCACGTCCCCCATCCCACCTTCCCTACTCGTTGGTACACCTGTCTTCAGGCGTCCCAGCATGTGGGTCTTTGAGGCGTGTTTGTGTGTTGCGGAGAGGATCCTTTGTTGAGTTACAGTTGTCCAACTTGTAAATTTAGGGGAGAAACAAAGGAGTCTTCTTACTCTGCCTTGATGTTTACATCACTCCAAGTTTTATGTGATTCCAGGATTGTTTTTTGAGTAGGTAACATATGTTTGTGTAAAAAAACCCACCAAAGTTAGGAAATGATATGTAATGAAAAAAAGTCCCCTCCCCTTACTCGAACACCAGCCATCCAGTTTCCCTCCTGACATCTCTGGTTTTAAGAAGACAGTCTTCATTAAGTCCTGCTAACTTTTTCCTACAACGCACCCTTAGGTTCTAGGAAATGTGGATTATTGGAACTAGTAACAGTCAGGGAAAAGTGCTAATTTTGACCAATTTACTGTGAACACCTTTATAATGGGGTAGGTTTGTTATTATGTATAACTTGTAAATACTTGAGAGAGAAGATAAATACATTACCCCAAGGTTACCTTTTACTTCAGATAGAGACCTCAGAAAGAATCCTTTTAATCTTTGTTTTATGGGTAAGAGTATGGAAAGTGGAGTGTTAGTGCCCAGTGAGTGTACCTATAAGGGAAATAATGTGTTAACCTGAGAAATGATATTTATTCCAAACCGTTGCATGGTTAGACTCATCGAAATAAAGTCTTCTTCAAATACAAATGCAACATTTCCTAATCCTGCGATCCAGTGCTTTGTACCTCATTTCTTCAACTTGATTTCATTCTCATGGGTAAGCTGAAACAAGCCATTTTGCAATGAACAAAGTAAGTTAGTGTAGAGAGGACAGGGTGTGTGTAACTCCAGAACAAGTTACTGCTTGAATTTGGCTACAAAATATAAACAGTAGGAAGTCAGTGTGTGGTGAAGGGCAGCACAAGGGGTAGGAGAAAATCCCCTCCAGGGTAAGAAGAGTGTTACAGCAGGGCCCTCTGGCCACCTGGAGATAGCCCAGCGAGAAGATCAGAGTAGAATGCAAATGGGGAACCTCTAACCTTAATGATGTATAAACAAATTAAAGGGGCTGGCAGTAAAGGTATCAGCATGGAACAGGGAAAGAAGACTAGAGATTATTTAGAGGTGGTCTTTGAAACCTCCATTAGTGTGCCTGCCCCAGGCACTGTCCTGAGCTCTGGCACACCGAGACGCATTTTAGAGTACTTAGGGAGACCGTCTGGTCAAAACAGTTCCAGTGGCAGTTGACAGAGAAACTCGGAGCAGCTTGAGTGCAGCCTTGGGAGAGCGTGCAGAGTGCCTGCAGGTTTAACGAGATGCTTCCATTCCTCTGGAGTTTGATGAAGCATTCAACTGTGTTTTGCCCGCCAGCGGCCTCTCATTTAGCTCTTGCTTGCATCAACCATCACATACCCTGTAGCCATTCTATGTGATCTATCATCAAGCTTTTGGCTCCCCGTAAACACTGCATTGTTACATTTAAAGAATTTTGTTTTCTATCCCAAATTAGTCTAGAATTCTCATTTTTCTGAATTAATCTTCACAAATTGAGATGGGCCAGAAGGAAATACAGGTTTCTGACAGCTTAGAATTAAGCTACGTTTGTTAGAGTGGCAGCTGTTGGGTCCTGATACTTGAGATTTCACCTTCCTGTTTTCCTTTGCAGACACACAAATTCGAGCCGCTTCTAAGAGCTTATTACCTGTTAAATCTAAAGAAGTCGATGTTTCCAGAGTTCTTCATCCAGGAGTTTCAGAGAATGATATTATGAAAATCGTCAAACCAAGACGAGATGGGTGGGTCAGATCATTGGTACCCAGTTAGAACGTCTTATTAGAAATTGCTCAGTATGAAGAATCAGAAAATACAGTTTTCAGGAGCACAAGGCACCTGCACAATTGGCCTGCAGTCAGTGACCCAGAGCGGAACAGCGTTGCTGAGCTGTCAGGACCCTTTGTGTCTGTCAGTTCTAAAGAGACACAGCAAGGGTTATGATGAGAGGTCTGCTTCCTCTCTCACCACTCGCCCTGAGTGTACAGGTGGCGTTCCTGTGGTCGCACGCCAGCCCTGGATGGCGGTCGTGGTGGGCAGGCACTAGTATTCAGCTTCTGTTGCTGGTCTGAGCACGTCTGGCCCGGTGCGTGTGTGTCCCTCTGTCTCGTGCTCAGTCCCCAGTACAGGAGGTTGACATGAGGTAGTCACTCCATTCTGAGCAGGAGGGGAGTTCATTCTCCATTAATAAGCCTTTTTCAATAATCTGGGCTGAAGCGAACGTGCATGGGCCCTCAGAGTTTATCGATCTTGTGCTAGTTGCATTGTATGTACGCAGTGAGAATCATAATATGTTGTTATGTGTTGTGAACAAAGCAGAACAAAGAGCCTGGTCTTGAAAGATTGCTCCCTTTGCTTTTTTTTTTTTTAATTAAGGTATAATTGACTATAGCATGATAGTTTCAAGTGTACAATATAATGACTTGATATGTGTATATATTGCAAAATGTTCACCACGCTAAGTCAACGTGCTGAATCCTTTCTCATTGTTTCTCTAGGCAGGTCAAAGCTGCTGATACTGTCATCAAGAGGAACATCAAAAAGAGGTAAACATCAGCCCTGACTGGTGTGGCTCAGTGGATTGAGCACCGGCCTGCGAACCAAAGGGTTAAAGAGTTGCAAGGGTTGTGGATCACATGCCTGGGTGGCAGGGCGGGTCTCTGGGGGCACGGGAGAGGCAAACACACACTGATATTTCTCTTCCTGTCTTCCTCCCTCCCCCTCTCTTTAAAAATAAATAAGTACTTTTAAAAAGAGAGATGAATATCAGCATATAAGAAGGTTGGATTGGGCACCGTTTTAGTGGATCTCAGTCCTGATTGTACAGGATTTGTTGGGACTTGTTTAATGTGTTATAGTCTGTGTTGCCACCCCCAGAAATCACAACGGAATTGTCAAGGGTGAGGCGCAGCCAGATATGAGAAACTGTCAGGGCAAGATGCTACCATCTTCAGGGCCAATCGAGATCTTTTGGGGCTCCATGCCAGGACCACTGCAGATTGGAAATCAAACCCAGCTATGACCTAGCAACAGGAATATGAAGCCTTCAAGATAGGAGGGGCTACATGTAGTTGGTGATTTTGAGATGCTGTTTCTGGTGGTGCTGCTGCTGGGGCTGGTGAAGGCTAACTCCAGGAGAAGGAGCCATCTTTCTCTCCGAGGCTAGCTCGGAAATTTTGCAGTCCTGAAGACAGAAATAATACAAGCTGAACAGTCTATAGAAATAAGTTCTAATTCCAAATGTGGGCAAGTCTTAAAAGTTCTGAAAACAAAATACTATTAAGAAGAACTCTGAGTCCTGGCTGGTGTGGCTCAGTAGATTGAGTGCTGGCCTACAAACCAAGAGGTCACCAGTTCAATTCCCAGTCAGGGTACATGCCTGGGCCAGGCATGTGGGCCAGGTCCCCATTAGGGGGTGCGCAAGGGGCAACCACACATTGATGTTTCTGTCCCTCTATTTCTCCCTTCCCCTCTGTCTAAAAATAAAATCTTTAAAAAAAAGAACTCTTAGAAATTTGAAAAGAATAGTGTTGATAATGGCTATTATTTATTGTTTACTACGTGTCAGTAGCTGTGCCGAGAATGGTACTTGTATTCTCTCTAATTCTTCACAATAATAATAATATGAGATGCAGGCATTATCCTAATTCTAGAAATGAGGAAACGGCCTCAGAGAGGTCATGCAGTTCACCGAAGGTCATATAGCCCTATGTAAGGGAGCCAGAATGTGGACCCTTGTTTGTGAGACTGCATGGTCCATACATACTCTTAACCCTCCACTACTTCATATGTTCATTAAGTACAATTATTACAGCTACAAACCATTGAGTAAGCAGAAATCAGAGGAAGAACTCAAGGATAAGAACCAGCTCTTAGAGGCCGTCAACAAGCAGTTGCACCAGAAGTTGACTGAAACTCAGGTGAGAGACCACCAGACTCTGCCATCAGCTGCATTGGGTGATGCAGGTGGAATCCTGAGGGACAGCCCCTTGGGTGGGAGCAAGCTTGCAGTGCCTGGGCGCCTGAGGGCAGAACGTCAAGGTACCAGGCTTGTGCTTTGGCTGTCTGAGAGCAAGGGCAGTAAAGGCCGCCCCAGAAGGATGGAGTGGGGAAGGCCTGATCTCTCTGCATGGTGCCCCACTAGGGAGAACTGAAGGACCTAACCCAAAAGGTGGAGCTGCTGGAGAAGTTTCAGGACAACTGTTTGGCAATTTTGGAGAGCAAGGGCCTCAATCCAGGTAAAACACAGCACCCAGTGGCCTTCAAGGGAATCAGTGCACGTGCCCTCTCCCGGAATGATGCTGGCCCGTAGGTGACGGGTCCAGCATGGCCGAGGCTGGCCTCAGCAGCCCAGGGGTTTGGAGCTCCTTTTTGTTCCCTTGCGACATGGACTGTGCCTGACCAACAATCTCAGATGGTTGTGGAGAATTATTACCACCTTCTTATCTGAATACTTTATGTGATTCATTCAGCATCCAAAGATATGACCTTGCAAATTAGACCAGAAATAATTTTATTTCTTTCAAGAGTGGTAATATACGGGTAACTCCCAGATGGGAAGAGAGAGAGGTGATACTGTAGTATCTGGCTAATCAGCAGAATCATGGTGGCTAAGATGCAATTCCTGCTCTGACCTTGTCCCTGGAGAACAGCCTGGCAAAGAAGAGAGCACAGAAGGAGCTTTCCCAGGACCGTAGCAGGGGCAGGCCGAGTTGCGGAGCCTGGGAACGCCCGGGGCAGGGCCCTGGCCTTCTTTGAATTAAGGAGTGCTGGCTGTGCTCCTGGTTAACCTGTGCATTTTTAGGGTATATTCTTTATAGTCACCATGCATGACTTTACATGATTTTAATTTAAAAGTATGTACTACTTTTGCCAAAAATAATAATAATGTTTAAGGCCTGAAAAGCTTTTAAAAATAGTTTTATGTTTTATGCATTTCCTTTTGACAAATGTTTTGCTGAGCAGAAAGCAGAATGAATTTTGGGCCATATCCAAACACAGAAAGGAAGGAGGTAAAATATATATCTCTGTGGAGGCAGGTGTGGGCGGCACTGCCCAGGTGAAGACTCGGGGACGTCAGGGAGCAGCTGCCCAGACACATTTCCCTCATGGAAACCCTTGTGCTTGTCCAGGAGGGATTTTATTGTATTTTGTCTAAGGTACAGTTCCCTAAACAAGGCTGACTTTGTTGACTCTATGACTTTAGACAGTGAAGCTCCGGCGTCACAGGAAGAATGCAACACGGACCACGCAGACTCCATGGTAAGGGCACGGGTGTGCGTGGGCAGGGGCCCAGTGGCCGTGGGGCTCTGCAGCTTTAAGACCATCTCTGCCATGCAATCAGTAAACCCCAAGAAACAGCCTTTGGTTACCCAGGATAGTGGAAGAACAGAGTGGTGAACGTATACTTGAAATAGCATATTTACCTGACAGGGGACTTTGTACTCACAAATGTGAGTCTGAGTTGAAAGTGCACCACTTTAAAACATGATAGGATAGACCTGTATAGAGAGCTTTCTGGTTTCTCTATTCTACCCTAGACCAACGTTCTCTCCTTTGCTGAGAACTGTGTAATGCAAAAATTTGGCATGAATTAAATTTGGCTTCTTTTTGGTTTCTTCCCTGAAGTAAGAAGGTAATTGTCTGGAATTAAAGTTTTCTGAGCTTCTATAATCTCTTCCCCAAGAAGAGATTGTCATCTTAGAATAATAGAATGCTAGATACGGAAGCCATTCTCCGCTCTCCCAAGCTCTTAGTCTCCCCTTCAGTGGCTACTGTGTTTCATTCATACTGCTTGTGTAGCAAGGCTCACGGAAGTGGGCTGATCTGCTGTCCCTCCTCGGGACAGAGTCCCTCCAGGGTGCACAGAGAGAACCCAGCATGTGGGTGTGGACACTCAGCAAATGAGTGACGTTAGCAACCATCTATTTTGGCTCTCCTTCCATACAGAGAGATTAATTTGTATGAAGAAAATGTTCATGAGGAACAAGTATGAAAGACACAGGGATGAGGACTGGGGGGGGAATGGGAGGGAGGGGGGGAGATGGGGCGGGGGGGGTCTGGGATGGGAGAAATAGACCAAAAAATGTACTTGAAAAATAATTAAATAAAAATTAAAAAAAAAACAAAACAGAAAATGTTCACATTTCAGTAAAGATTTGTTAACTACATTGTATTTCCTTTTAGTTGCTGTTAGAAACTTTGCAAGGTGAATTGAAGCTCTTTAATGAAACAGCCAAAAAGCAGATGGAGGACTTACAGGTAAGAGGCCAACATCACCTAGAGGCAGAATTACCATTGCCTACCACCGTGGGAAGATCTTTGGAAGGCCCTTTCTTATTTATCTATTTCTTTTTTTTTTAAAGATTTTATTTATTTAATTTCAGAAAAAGGAAGGAAGAATGCAAAGGAGAGAAACATCAATGTGTGGTTGCCTCTCACATGCCCCCAATTGGGGACCTGGCCCGCAACCCAGGCATGTGCCCTGACTGGGAATCGAATCAGCAACCCTTTGGTTTGCAAGCCGACACTCAATCCACTGAGCCACCCCAGCCAGAGCTATTTTTTTTTATTTTTAATAAACTATTTTGTAATCTGGATTTACAGAATAATTGCAAAGTAAATACAGAGAATTCAATTCCCATAATATTAGCATCTTACATTATCGTGGCACATTGTCAAAACTAGGACACACCAACGTTGAAGTATTACTGTTAACTAAATTTCAAGACTTCATTTGATTCCACCATTTTTTTTCAACTGATTTTCTTTTTCTGTTCTGAAGACTCTTTAGAATTGTTCGTATCTGCAGGGCACGAGAGGATGTGCACCATGCTGGGTTGCTCAGAGTTGGGACCTGTGTGAAACCGAGGCCGGGGAGACGTGACACCTCAGGGAGACCAGTCACAGGAGACCCAGCTTCCAGGGGCTGCTCTGGGTGGCTGGGCGGAGTCATGGGGTGTGACCCCGAGCCCTAGGGGACTTTATTGCTCCAACTTAGATCAAGGAGTCTCTAGCAAAAGGGGGCAGTTCTAAAACCAGGACAGATAAACCTAATGTTAGTATACCTGTGGTCTTCGATGGAATAGAAACATAATGTTCCAAAGTTTTGTTTTGTGTTTTCTCTTTTTGAATGTCTTTCCAAGCAGGCCTTAAAAGTAAAACTGAAGATGAAAGAAGAAGAGAGGGCCCAGTTCCTGGAACAGCAGACCTTGTGTAACAGTCAAGTAAATGATTTTACAACAACCCTTGAGGAACTGGAGCAGCTGTTAGAAATGTGATAAAAAGCAAGTGGCCAGATGGCTCTCTCTGGGGATTAACTCTAAGAAGTGGCCACTGAGGACATCTGCTTCTTGGCGATGATCTTCTAGGACTCACCATCCCCAGAATGAAAACCGTTTCTGCAGTAGGATTAAGGACAGTTTGTGCTGGAACGGCAGTCTCCCCTTTAAGCAAGTGTTCTACCCTCAGATTGGTCAGCACCCTGAAGCTTTCATGTACATAATTAAGGTCTACAAGAGGGAGGCCTGGATGCTTGGATCAACTCCTAGGCAACAAGGCAACAGACACACTGTTAGAATTAGGAGACTAAACCTGCCACAGCCAGAGAATCCAAAAGGTCCCATTCACATGCACGGGAAGAAACGCTTAATTGTGCACGGGAACACAGGTGCTCCACAGGAAGTATCGCTGATGAGCCATGCGCTCCCCTGCTGATTTGGAACCTACCCTGTCCCATCCTGGTTGGGCTCTATACCTCTTTGTAAAGTTGCAAACTTAAAGTTACTTGGAAAGGCTTATTAGCAAATGGGGTGAAGATGTATAGATAGCAGTAACACCTACCTGTAACAATACACGTTGGAGCTTTTAGTCTAAATCATTTCTGGTTTTTTATATATATAAGAAAAGAAATATCTTTTTAAAGAGAGATTTCTTTTTATATGTAGCTATTTCTGTATTCGGATTGCAGTATTGAGAAGGGAAAATAGCCTTGTAACCTAAATGTGTTCACTGACTACCACTGAGCTAATCTAGGAGTTCACGGCTGAACTTCAACCCAGAATATTTCTCTTCCACTCATTAATTGCTCCATGCCTACCCCACCCCGTCTTCCAGGAACGTGAGCTGGTTTTCTGCAGACATTCCCTGTTTGTTGCAGTGGCCGCCATACACTGTCTACCGGGTCTGTGTCACTGGCTGCCTGTGTTCTCCCTGTGTTCCTAAGCATGGTTACGTACCAGCTGTTTGTTTTGCACAGCCAATCCTGACCTGGCTCCGTGGATCCTCAATCAGCTGAAGTCCGTGGCAGTCCGCCCCGACCTGATTTACCAAGGCACAGCCATATTTCATTTCTTAGTCAAACTGGGCAGTCTTTGGCCAGCTCCTTTTTTCTGCGCCTACTAATTTTTTCACCGAACCAACCTACCATTCAGCATTGCTGAGGCTGCCCAGGGCCACCCATTCATGCTAGGTAATGCCCCCATCCTAACCCAAAGGGCGAAAACTCTGCCTTCACACACCAGCTTTCATGCAGTTGGTTATGTCCCAAACATTTTGAAGGGGAAATCCAGTTAAATAATTCCCACAAGTGAGAAGGGCTCAACATTTTCTTCTACCCACTTTTAGGACATTTATAGTTTAAAAGATTGTTTACCCAAACAAATTAGTAATTTCTATTTCAGGCCAAAATAAAGTTGTTACTTCCTTCTTGGAACGAGAGGTTGGGAAACTCAGCTGTAGGATCCTCACCTCCTTGTCATGCCTCCCTGGGTGACTGAAGAATGTCACAATCTCACTAATGTCTGTGGTTGCTCATCTTCCCCCACGTAGAGACCCTGCTCCCTCGTGGCCTGGTCACACCAAGGGTTCTCCCTTCACGGTTCTGCTGTGCACCACCAGCCAGCATTTGTGTGCACTCATTCCCTCTGACCAGTGCTGCTCCTCCTGCCTTTTGTATGTGAGGTAATATTCTGGGTGCTTAATCTGATCCAGAGCCTGAAAAATTAATACATACACTTAGCAAATAGTGATCCGCACCTTCCACTTTGCTAGATGCTGTAGGAAACTAATGTAACATGACATTCTTAATCTCAGATGTTCAGTCTTAGGTGAAACAAAAGTGCAGGTCATTCATACACAAGGTAGCAAAAGTTACTATACTAACAATGGGTTGTGTGGTACAGTCGTACTGGATACCACAGTTAACTGAGCTAGGCTTATGGAGGAGGTAGACTGGAAATTGAAGGAAAAGTAACACTGAAGAGGCTAGCTAGAAAGTTGAGGTCCTTCAAAGTTGGTGAACACGAACATTTCAGTAAAGCAGCCTGCTCAGAGAGGGCGTGGAAGCTCCATGCCCTTGACCCCACATCTTTCCCTACATACTCTTCCATCTGACTGTTCCTGAGTTTGTTTTTATAATAAACCAGTAATCTAGTAACTAAAGTACTTTGCTGAGTCTTTGAGTCACTCTAGCAAATTAATCAAACCGAAGGAAGGGATCATTGGAAATAACAGGAGAAAATAAAATGAAAGGTTGAAAAAAGCAGGGCAGGGAGGTACCCAAATAAGTCTTGGGTCACTGAGTAAGAACGCTGGGCATATTCAGAGGATTCGAGATGAGAAGGGATTATGCCTGACACTCCATTGAACACTTGTAATATAATCATCCAAATGCGATGTTTATGTTCCTCATGTATTACATCCCCATGTAATCCTCATTACAGTCATACCAGGTAAGTCATATCACACATTACTCCTGTTTACAGGTGGGGAAGTAGGTTCAAGGAAGTTAAGTTGATTGGCCCAAGGTCAAATGACAAGCAAGTATTGGAAAAAAATTTGAGCCAGGGAGTAATGGGTGGGGGTGGAAGATAATGGTGTTCCAAGAAGTTTTAAAGAACATTGAATGCCAAGCTAAGATGTGTGGGCTCTGTCATTAGCAACTGTCTCTGAAGTTTGCTTGCCCTCATTAAGCTCAAAAAAATGTTCCAGAGCAGAGCGATTCACAAGCACCATCATTAAGTTGCACTTCTATCCTTTGTCACAGAGCAAGAATATATATACTTCAGGTCAACTCAAGAAGATAACTTCATGGAAAAGTGGTCACGGAAGTACCCACGTCCATTTATCATGCATTCCAGTGCCTTACGGTCCCCTGTACAATTGCCTAACTCCTAACCCAGTTTCATTTTATGATCCAAAAACAAGGAATCCAGTGAGATATCCCTTGCGAGCATTGTTGAAGATATATTAAACAGATAGATCCCAGATCCCTGTTCTAAATGTTAAAAAATATTAAAAGCACATAAAAATATCTGTATGGTCTATAACGGTCTAGTGAGTTTGTTTCCCCTTCTTTGATAATGTCTTCAATTTCTACTCAGACCGTTCTTTGTACTCATTTGGTTCTATTGCATTTAACTTCTTTTGATACTCCAGTGGCAAACTGGAGCAGCAAACTATTCTCTTGCACCCATGCAAAGGGCCTTTTTATACTAGGGTTATTTCCTTCCTGAGTGTAAACATTACTTTCTATTGGGGGCATATGTTCCTATTAACTCTTCTTGCTTATCCAGGGAATTTAAATTGTTTTTGTTCATTTTCCACACTGCTCCTCATACTTCACAGCCAGGAATTTGGAAAATGGTGGCTATGCCTCCATGCTAAGTTTCCCTTATTTTACCTTGGGAACTGCCAAAGTCAAGCTTAAAATCCTGTAACTGAACAATCATTTGCTCGTTAACTCTCTCCCTTGTCTCAACTATCAATATAAGCATCTGAATCTCTTTCCCACATTTGAGGAATCTCCTACCTTACGTGTCTGGAGGGTAGAGACTGCCAGAGCCAGACTTCCAGTTTTGAACTTTTGAACCCCAGAAGGTGGTCTCCCAGCTTTGCTTGCAGTCAGGGCAAGGGCATGTGGCCAAGACTTAGCCAATCTGGACAACCTTTGGGGCTTTGAATGGTGCCCACGACAGCAGAGAGTTCACCCTGGTCCCTGGTGGTGGTAGCCACATCTGGGTTTCAGGACCTGCAGAAGTGTTGTGACAGTGGCAGGCAGGGTCCACATTTACCAAGTTCAACAGTGGCCACCTGGGCTGTTTCTGTCTGTGACACTGGCTTGTATTACGATTGCCACGCCTCCTTTTTTGCCTGCCTATAACGTCAGTTTTGTGGTCCTTACTTCTCAGTCATTCTGTAAGCTCTGTGACAGCCTTTCAACACATTGTTTCTGCTTAAATCAGCCACTTACTGTTGCTTGCAACTAAGAACCTTGGGGGGGGGGGGCAGCAAGCAGCAGGCTGAGGGGTTTCAGAAGGGGATTCGCAAAGTTGGTAGGTTGCTGCCAGAGGCAAAGTTCAGAAAACTCCACCTCCTGGCCCTGCAGATCTTGATTCGCCGCTCCCGCCAGCTGCCTGCAGGGGTGTGAGGAAAGACAGCAGGGAATGACCCCAGCTCGGTGGCCGCTGGGCCACCACCTCGGGCATTAGGAAAAAGGCAAGAAGCGTGGGCCCTATTGTCTCAGTAATATTTTTTGACACTAAAATAAGTACCTAACAATTCTACTTTAAGTAGTTAGATCCAAGTAAGTACTTATGCCCTAACAACTTATAACAGCTATTTGAAAAAGTAATACACAAATCTAAAACAAATTTTATTGTTCAATAACCCCAAGCATCTACTAATGGAATTTTGGGCACTGCCTAATTTCTCAAGCCTTGGAATAAAATCAGACACTACTGCCTTCATTCCCCGTTTGACCCTGTCAAGGAATGTAGCGTGATCTAATGTTGACACGGACCTAGTTCAAGCTAGTAGTGAAATATAGAATAAAATGTTCCCCAAAATTGCTCCATGGAGTCAATCCCTGCCAGAACCATGATTGTGGAATTGTGGCCCAGAAACTACTTTCACTTCTTGTAAGTTTGTTTTTCAGATCCAAAGACAACCTACCAACCAAGCACAAACTCAGTATCTGGTTGAGCAAGTCCCTTCCCACATTCCCTAATAAATGCTGCACAGTCCCAGAGTGCTTCACTTTGCAGATATACACCAGGACACCAGTGGTCCAAAAAAGGAGAAGCCTAATAATCTGCTCTCTGATTGGTTAACCCCAGCAAATCTCCCGTCCTCAAGTCAT